GCACCCCACGCTTTTGTTCCTCACAGGATTGTTTATACAGAAGAAGAGCAGTGGTTGCCTACAGCTGTGCCCAACCTTCATATCCCAATACAAAGAATTCTGAATTTTTCCTGTCTTTTGTGCTTATTTGAGCCCTACTCCACAACCACAGTAACTCGTGCTGCTCCTCCAAACAGTTCAGGTTGACTTGTCACTACACCTGATTCTCTCCCAGAGAGATATGTAGCAGCGCATGTGCCAGCACCTGTTAGGTTCCCTGGTAAGACATTCCAGAGGGCAGAGGTCAACATCTCAAATTGGAATTCCAGTCCTAGAATAATAAGACAATTATACCCAGATTTTTTCATCCCCTGTATTCTTATGGTCACGTGTTAATGTTATAAAGACAGCCTAGATTAAGACTGGAGATGTTCGTGCTTAAGTAAAAGCATCAATGTGTCAGGAATGTGTGCTTGTTCTTGTGTTTGCATCAGTGATGATGAGATGCCTATCTGAAAATGCTAGCTAGTAACTCCAAAGACTTTTGTTTATCCCCTTCCAATCTTCGGTATTCTTGCTCATTATTGTGTTTGTTGCAGTGAAGCAGACATAACTGGGTAACTAATTTGGGGCTAGCACAAATTTCTATCATTTCACAACACAGAGAAGAGTCAGTGACATAAATATATTTTTACTCATTGCAACACATATATTTTATATAGACACCAGATCTTCAGGTATCTTCCTAGTCTTGGCTTTCATGAGAGGTTCGAGTACTCCCTGGTTATTTGATGCCCTTTAGATATGGAGACTTGGGCCAGTGACATCTGTTCAACTTGTAGCAAGCTGATAACTTTTCAAAAGATAATTAGCATCTTCAAGATACACATATGGAAAAGATATAAGAATTCAAGCCAGGAGGTCAGGAATCTGGCATACTTCAGGTTGATGCATTTTAAGATCAGCATTTTAGACTGAAGCTGAAGTAAGAAGTGAATGGCTGTTTTCAGTGCTAGGAGAAAGAAAAAATTCCAGCCCTGGCTGCCTGGTGCAGCCGAGCTGCTCCTGTTGTTAAGGTAACAGAGGGAGATGTCTGCTGCAGTGGGAAAGGGTCAAGGAATTTGTCTGAAAGATTGAAGACGTGTGGCAGGGAGAAAGAAAAGAAATTGTTGCCAGGACAGGTGTGGCAGCAGTCACTGATCTAAGGAGGAAAGAGGAGAAGGGAGCCCTATGTAGATGTACACCATTGTGTAACCTGTTTGAGGCATATTCCCGTACAGCTAATGATGTGCCAGTCCTCACTGTGGACGTGTCTGTACTGTAAGGGGTGAGCAAAGTTCCTGTGCATCCTACAAGGTAGACATTAGCAGGCTGAAGTGCTGCTAGCATTAGTGTGACCTCCCAGCAGGCACGGTTCACCCACAAGCGATCGCTAAGACCCAGAGTGCTGACTATAATGATCATTACTACCTCTTCAGTAAACAGAAGAAAAAAAATGATGACCTCTGCCTACACCTCTAAGCTAGCTGGCATGCTGTGCCATCTTGACTTCAGTGATGCTTTTTGTCATAAAATAGCTAATACATGGTTTTACATGAGTGTTACAGAAACTGCAGAAGCTGCTTTTTATTAAGCAGCTGTGCTGCATATCTCTGTACGAATCTGGAATGGCCACTTTCCAGTGTGCAGGCCTGTCCCTTCACCTTTCCATCACCAGTGCAGGTCCAGCTTCTACCATCAGTCATGAGGTAGCTTACTAGTTGGTTCTATCTCCCCTGCATGTTGGCATGGATATTTCAGCCAAACTGCTGAGATTCAGCAGGCATATGATTAAGCAACCTCAGCCAAATTTGGCAGTCTGCCTGAATGGCTGTGGCTTGAGCAGGTCTGTGGCTGGCTCTAGTAGGGGAAGGAAACTCCTGAAATAAGCTTGCTGTCTGACTCCCATCTGGCTGTTAGTGAAGTGCCTTGATGCCTCCTTTGCCCAAGTCCCAGAGGACCAATTTGTTACATCATGCTCAAGTCATGCTTCCATATATGCTGAAGGCCACAGGTATTCTCCTGTGAAGGGCTACAAACAGGATCTTGAGTCTGCTTGCAAAGAAGATGGTGGGGTTTCTTGAGATCAAAGGGAGCCTCGTGGGGTATCAAAGGGCATTGAGGGTCAGTTTCAAACCTGACGGCACTGCATCTTTGACATAGTGTTGTGAACATGGGCAGCTGGGTGTTGTCCACCTAGCTGTTCTCTTGTTCCTCCTCCTCAGAACTAGTGTGACCAGACATTGCCATTTTTTAAGGTACAGTACAGAAAACAGGTGACAGGAAGGTTTTTCATTGTTATTGTTTAGAGGTGGTGTTTTTTTCATTGCACAGTGGAAACTAGACATTCGAGGAAATTGTAATAGTAAAAATCATACAGACTAAATGTAAGATATATAGTAAGACTTTCTGAATGGAGACACCAGGTCTAGGGGACACTCCTACTTCTTATTATGTTAACTGGACTGCAGGATTCAGTAGCGAGACTAGGAAAAAACTATCAACCAAACCCATTTTGTGACAAAGAAAACATAGGTGGAGAGATTTGGAGGCAATCTGAGTGCAAACTCTTGCAAACCACACTGTTCTGCTAAGCCACACAGAAAAAATGTAAGTAGGTAAGCCAGAACTAGCAAAAGCAAAGCAAATACATGTGTAAGAATATTGACTCTTTATAGAGCAATTTATTGTGCTTGCTAGAAACAAGGCTAAAATAAAGCAGGCAACTAGCTTCCAAGGCACCTTTGCACATAGCACTGTTTAAAAACATCACTTCCCAGGAATGAAGCTATCTTAAAATTTCTCTTGCTGTACCTCTTGGCTGAAGGCATTGAACACAATTATTATTCTCCCTGATGAGAAAGGATTAGGTGGGGGAGGACTAAGAAATGAACACAAAACTCTTGTAAACAAGCTGAGAGCAGTCACTTGTACTGTTACAGTTTGGATAAATGCAGGTAATTTCTAACCCATTATTTGAGCTAGTGACAGGACTGTTTGTTTTTGCTTATATTTTAACACTTATTAATTGTTGATTAAGGCTTCACTGAGGACTCATTTTTAATGAAATCTGAGGAACTGCAAAAGCGTCACAAAATTCCTCCTAATCTGGTCAAACAGGCAAGGAATAATACAAAGCGTAAAAAAGTCTCAACATCCTGCTCTCATCGGAGTATTATGGGAAACATGTAAATAAAGAAAACAAATCAGTGCACAGTTCACACTTCATCAATTGCCTAACAACTTGCAACCAGTTAATTACACACCTTTAAAATGCATGTACAGGATAAATGATTCAGAAATAAGCCTCAGTAATGAAAAAGAACAGCGAAGAAGTACTGATTCCACTAAGGGAATTTAACCCCTTAGCTGTGACAATGCTGAAAGATGGTACTGTATGTAATAGCTGGTTTATGCTATTTGCTAAGTATTCAGAAATGTTAAAGTAACTCAACCTTGTGTTACTTTGCATTTTGCAGTCTCAATACCAGCAATGAATTCTTACATCCAATCTTTAAATCATGGGCATTCAGCCTCTTGGCTTGCCTGGGCCAAACTGAAAAGGAGGAATGAAAAAGAATGAAGAGGAATTGTCTTGGGCCATATATAAAATACAACACAGTTCATGCATACCAGTAACAAAACCTTAAAAAAAAAAAAAAAAAAAAAGGCAAGAAGGCAACAAAATCAAAACGAGTGGGTTCGACATGCCTAGTGTAAGGTGAAACATCTGAACATCTGTTTAAGAATACCACACAGAGATCAAATCCCAAAGCAGGATATTTATGAGTGGCAGAGTGCATGGGAAGATATGGGCCTTCTGGAGTTCACTCCTGAACAACTGCAGAATCCTGAAAAACTGGTAAAATGTTTGAAAAAGATATACCACCACCTGGGCAATTCCAAAGCCTGCAATTCCTGCAACATGCTGGGGCAAGACTTACGCCTGCTGAGCAGCACTTAACACTATTGCACCTGCAATAAACCCTGCAGCTGCTCCAACCCTCCTGCTGCCCCATCCGGAGAACTGCATCCAGCTCCAGCGATCCCAGCACACAAAGGATGCAGAGTTGCAGCAGGTCAAGAGAGGGCCTTTGAGAATGAGCAGAGCATCTCTTCTATGAAGACAGCCTGAGGAAGCTGGACTTGTTCCGCTTGGGGAACAAAAGACTGTGGAAACTCACTGCAGTATTTAAATGGAGCTTATGAACAGGGGGGGAAACCAAATTTTTACACAGGCAGATAATGATAAAACAAGAAGGAACTGCTTTAAAATGAAAGAGAGGACATTTAGATTAGATGACAGAAGGAAATACTCAGAGGCCCTGGCACAGCTGGCCAGAGAAGCTGTGCTTGCCCCAACCCTGGAGGTCTTCAGTGCCAGGCTGGATGGGGTCCCACGCAGCACAAGCTGGTGGGTGGCAACCAGCTGATGGCAGGGGGGTTGGAATTGGATGATGTTGTGTGTGCTTATGAACCCTGACGGGATTTTGTACCTCAAACATGCCCATTTTCTCCTGAATATATATGAACTGTTCTGAAAACCCTCCTACTTCAGACCATGATGACAGTTGCTGATAATAAAAAACCTCTAAATGCTGGAGCGAAATCACAAGCCCTAACATAACCATTAGCGTTAGACAGAGGAAAACAGCTTTCATTTTGGAAGAGACGACTGGAAGCTTGTGAAGTGGTAATACAGGATTGCTACACAGACTCCCAACACAGAGGAAAAAACGAGGATGGGACTGCAAAACATGTCAGTTAACAGGACGCGAGCCGTCAGCCCGTGCTGGCTACGGGGCAGAACGCCCGATATGCCCGAACGCCCCACAAAAGCCCCGCAGTTCGGCGCCCGTCGCGCAGCACTAGGCGGGACGCCACCGCCATCACAGGGTGCGCGGCTCAGCTGCCTCCCGCCCCGGCGGGACCCGCGCCCTCCGCACGCAGCGCCCGGCGCCGCCGTGCGCCCACGTGACCGAGCCCGGCCGAGCAAGCGCGGCGAGGAGCCCCCAGCGGCTTGGCGGAGGCGCTCCGTTTCCCCCGCCGAGTGGAGCAGCGCCGCTAGAAGGTGAGCGGCGGGCGGGCGGGTGGGAGGCGGAGTGCAGCGACGTAAGCGCAGAGTCGCACTGACGGATGAACAGCGAGAAAGGGGGGCGCGGGACAAGAGGCCGACGGAGGAAGGGGCCGCCTTGGGCGGGCAGGCGCCGCAGCCAGCGCAGCGCAGCTCAGCCCGCCTTCCGCTGCGCGCCACCCCTCTGCTCCGCCCCTCGGGCGGCCGTTGGGCGGTGCGGGGCTGTGGCGCCACGGTTGGGCGGCAGCAGGAGGGGAGGGGGAAGGGTGGTGGCTCCGCTAGTTGCGGGAAATTACGCTGTTGTCTTTTTCTCCTTAGCAGAAGTGGCAGAGCTAATGCTGCGAACTGTTGCTGACTGTGTACTCAGGTTTTCAGTGCTGATGAGTGGGAGCAGGAAGCTGTGGCTGTGTTGCGAAGTACACGTGTTAGCAGCGTTTGCTTGTGCTGTGGGTAATATGGAGGCTTGGCAATGACCTGCTGCTGGCTCCCCACGTCACTGTGCACCTGATAATAGCAGTTCTCTCTTGATTGAGCGGCTTTCCCGTTATCATATGTCCTGAACGTTTTGAGGGTAATTACTGTCTTGGATTTTACTCTCTACTGTGGCATCACTTAAAACTGTAGGCTTTTCCATGTTTGGCGTTTCAGTTAGTTCTGCTGTGTAGAGGCCACAGTCCTTCCTGTATTTGGAGACTGAGTTCCTAGACAGATCTCCATGCTGTTCTTATCCTTTCTAAAGGAAATGAAGTGCTTTGGAAGTCAGTGAAAAGTTTAGACAGAGAAACTGGAACAGAACACCAAGTAGGCTCTAACCTCAGAATATTTTCTATTTAACCAATACTTGAATGGGATTTTTTTTTTTTCTTATATTGCTTTTCCATTGAACCAAAATTAATTGTGTAGGTTGAAATACTGAAAAAAGGAAGCTGATGATCTAGGAAAGCTGCTTCAACTGTGTCCGGATTACTTTCTTATGCCTCAGTTTGCTTTTCTATTTTTTGTATTTTTTTTTTCCTGGTTCAGCGTGGAAAAATATAGCAATGAATTGCTAACGGAAGATAAATGGAAGAAAATATATTACAGGAATTTGTATTATTTATATATATATATATATATATACACCCACATACAGACATTTGTATATATCTTTATATACATGTAATTTATATATATATAAATAAAATGATTTCTCTAAGAGATTTCAAATGATAACAAATCTATTTCCAATATGCAGTTTTGTAATTGAATGCACATGCATTTTGTAAAAATGTAACATAATAATGTTTTAATAACTATGACTGGGTGATTCCTATGAGTTACTCATTTCTTTTACTTTCACAATTACAGATTCTTCTGTGTAACTTTTATTTGGTTACCAAAAGAAAGCTGTTCTCTGAATTGAGGGAAAGAACAATGCACATTGTGTAACAGTGGGTAGTAACTCCTTGAGAGCAGTATTGTGGTGGAGAGTGGTTTTAAGATTCAAATAGGTTCCACAGACACAGCTGAAATTTGAATGATCAGATAAGTTGATTGCTGTGCTGCGGATCCTGACTCTGGAATACCTACCTGGAACTTATGCTATGCTTTTAGTTTAGTTTTAGTATGAACAATAATGTTCTACATTATTGTTGTTAAATAACAAATTTGTATTTCACATGATCATGAGTGCATGATTTTATGGTCTTTTTGGACCAATTAAATTTATTGCAATTCTAGTTAGTGGCCCAAACTTCTGTTTTTCAATTAATTAATACTTTAACATTTTGAGAGGTTTTTTGGTCATCACAGAAAACTTCTCAAGAAGAAACAAAAATTTGGTCCTATGTGTTGGAATTCTCTCTGTTGCAAATACATTTATTTTAACATTTTGGAAGAGAGTCACTGAAATTCTAGTGCCAAGTTCACTTTCAAAATGTATATTTTAGTGTTCATATTGTATTGTAAAGATTGGACATTCATTCATTCCTACGATGAACCTAAAACCAGGTGGTGTGGAATGGACATTCATAGTTTTATAAAAGAGCGTCAATCTCTTGTTTGTTTTTTAACTGAAATATTTTAGTCTTCAAAGATGAGAAATATGATTCTGTTTCATGTATCAAGGGGAAAAAACCCCACCAACTGCTGTTGCCTGGAATGTACACTGCAAGTGGAGTGCATCCAGAGAAGGGCCACAAAAATGATCCACAGAGTGAAACGCCTCTTGTATGAGGACTGCCTGAGAGAGCTGGGGCTGTTCAGCCTGGAGAAAGGATGTGAGGTGATCTTGCAGCAGCCTTTCAATATCTAAAGGGGAGCTACAAGAAAAGAGGACAGACTCTTCAGCAAGATCTGTGGTGATGGAACAAGGGGAAATGGCTTCAAGCTCAGGAAGGAAAGATTTAGGTTAGATATAAGGAAAAAGTCTTTTTCAGTGAGGGTGGTGAGGCATTGGAACAGGTTACCTAGTGTTGTGGTTGATACCCCTTTGCTTGTGACTTAGGAGGCGAAATTGGATCGGACTCTGGGCAACCTATCTAGCTGTGATGTCCTTGCTCATTGCAGGGCAGTTGGACAAGATGGCCTTCTAAAGTCCCTTCCAACTACAAGGGTTCTGTGATTCTATGAAGTCTTGAAGTGCTGGAGAAACCAGATGCTGATTTGTATGAACAATATACTGCTCTATCAAAAGGATTTAGTACTCTTTTAAACTGGTCTTTTCTTCAACTAGTATTTACAGACCTAGCTTCAAGGAGGAACGACCCAGTGGATAACCTTTCTCTGGCTTTGTGAAAGTTTACAGTAGAAATAAATGAATATGCAAGTGTCAAAAGAAAGAACCTTTTTACTTTACTTTTCTGTGCCTAGGCTCCAGAAGGCTTTTTCTGTTTGTTTTTTAGTAAAATGAATAATTGCATATTCCTCAAAATGATTGGTTTTAGTTGAGGTTTTTTTTTTTTTTCTTCTCAGAGCTGAGAAATTTATGTGGCAGTTGAACTTGTCACAAATCCCAGACTCGGAATCAATGTGGTGGTGAATGGTTGTTGCTGAGTGTACTGGGTACCCTTGTAGAAAGTCCCACAGTGACCTCTAATGTTCAAGGATAAAACCTAAGTTGATAAAATAACAAATTATTTTTCAAGGGCACAGTTTTGTGTATTAGTTGGTACATTTAGTTTATTAACATCCCACAGGCAGGGTAGGTATTTGGTCCATCAGACCTTAGTGCTCATAGAACTGACTCTGAAGTACAAGTCTCCTTTGTTTTGAAGAAGTAGGCACAATGCTGCCTTTATGGGACAACTGCTTATTTTTGTAAAGTACACTGAAAATTGAAAATCCCTCTTAAATACTGAGATAGCTCTTGCTATTCTTCCTTTTGAAATTATTTATTCATGCCATATTAAATATTATTTATTGTTTTGTCCTTTTATACCCAAAATGTACCTGCATGGTTTAAAGATTAGTAGCTTAGAAACTTGTGTTGTATATACACTCATTTGATTTTGCATTCATCTAGAATATACTTTTCCATCATGTACTAACCTTATTTGTTATTAATTCAGATGGAAAAATGTATGGAAGAGTTTCTTTTAAAGATATTCATGTTTTGAGTTGAATACTTTTATTCTTTGTCTGCTTATTTGATGTTATATGAAAACTTTATTCCTTTTTGGTTAAAACTAAGAATCAGCTGTTTTTTTCCCTGGAGTTAGATTCATGAAAATCACAATTAACTGGAGTGAAGTTTTGTGGTACTTGAAAGAATACAGAGATTTGAGTAGAGAAATGTGCACATGAATTTAAAATCAAAGGTACTGTGACTTGTTGTAAATATAATTTCTAAATTTAGTCTGTTTAAAGGCATTTGCCATTTGTGCAGTCGGCCTGAGACCAAAACAGCAGTGTTGCACAGGGACATCGCTGGTTGCAAAGGACTCTTCAATTTATAAAATTAACTTACTTTGCATGCTTTGAATCTTTACACCAAAAGGCAACACAGAACATTCAATTCATAAGCCTTTTGTTGTTCACTTAAGCGTGTTTCAGAACTGAAGTAATCTGGTACTTTTCTTTCTGTGTGAATGTGAATGATTTTTAGTTTGTTTGAAGAGACAGAAACATGAATAAAAGCAATTATTTTTCAGATTAGAGCAACTGGTACACTGCCAGTCACCTGTAAGATAGTGCTTAAAGATTTTGCATTACATCTGAAGTTTGGATTGTCTGAAAAGATCTCATTTATAAAAATTACGTATTTGTCTTTCTATTGCATTGTCAATAGAGAAGCAATGATATTGCTGTTCTTTTTCTTGGTTACGTAAAACAAAATCCTGAATATCTTGTCAGAACTGTGAGATGGCTGATTACTTCCCATTCTGAACTGTTTGTTACTTAAATTGCTGAGGGAATTTTTATCTGCAGTTATATTTTCTTTTGCTTTTGCTTTGCATTTCAGGAGTAAAATGCCTTTGTGGAAATACACAATTATTTGTGAAGGTAAAATTTATGTCTTTGATGTATGAAATTACTTTGTAAAAATAAGCTATTTACTTCCTTCCAAGTTTATGACTTGTGGTCTGAGTCTTTTTGTACGTGGGGTCGATCCTTGTGCAGAAATGTAGTATATAGGTCACTCTGAAAGTAATGCCTCCTATTTCACAGTCACAGAATTGTAGGCTTTGGAAGGGACCGCTAGGGTTCATAGAGTCCAATCCCCTATTAAAGCAGGTTCCCTCTGGTAGGCTGACAGGAAGGCATTCTGGTGGGTTTTGACTATGTCCAGACAGGGAGACTCTACAACTCTCCTGGGCAGCTTGTGTCAGTGCTCTGTCACCCTCACAGTAAAGAAGTTCTTTCTTGTGTTCGGATGGAACTTCATGTGTTCCAGTTCTTGCCTGTTGGCCCTTGTCCTGTTGCTGTGTGCCACTGAGAAGAGCCTGGTCCCATCCATTTTACTCCCACACTTTAGATATTTATAAACAGTAATGAGAATCCTTTCTCAGTCTTCTTCA